TAAACAGATCTTGAAATGCCTTCCCTATCCCAGTGAAACGGCCCAGCTCAGCAGAGTGTCTTTCTGGGACTTCCAGTCTCAGTTCCTACCCTCTGCTGTTGCTTTTCTTCACTCGCTGGATTCTCCACAGCATTGCTACTGGAGAGGGTTATGCAAATATATGCAACCCAGGGTTCATTTTGGAATAAAGCATTCTAAATTAAAATTAATGAACAAAAAGTACAGAAACAGATCAAGCAATAAAGCCATTTCTCTCTCTTTCCCCCTGTGTCTCTCTTTTCTTTAAGAAAACTGGTTTCTTTTCTTTATGCTTTTTTGGGGGAAGAAGCAGACTGTTGTTTTTTTTAAAAGCAATCTCAGCAAACAGAAACTGTCTGTTGCTATCCAGAAAAAAAACACCAAGCAATGCTAGTAGCTGTTGTAGAAACAATTATTGGCATTTCTCTTTTCCCTAAGATGCTGTTTCCAGCTACATCCCTACTACCCCTTTTGGAAGACACCATCATCACCTCTGACTTCGATTTTGTTCACTTCTAGCCACTTGGTCAGAACAAGATACAATGCCACCCCTTGCCTGGTACCTGTGAAACAGGAAGAGACAATTCCTATGACGTTGGCCTTCTGTCTTCACTCTGTCTTGTCCTGCCTGTTCCCTTGGTCTGTAACCCCTGCAGGCTTGGCACCCAATGTGGCCCCAGCCTTCAGTGCCTGCAGACCTGGCAGGGATGGACGCTGACAGCAAGAGAAGCCTGGCCTGCCTGAGCACCCACCCTGCAGAGCCACCCCCTCCTGCACCCCCCCCCAAATGGAGAATGAGCTCTTTGGAAAATCTGGCAGGGTATATACCACCAGCGGGAAACGAAGAGATCTGCGAGTTGTGCTTCTCGCCCAGGGTCATGGGTGTTATCAGGTGTCGATGCCCGGGGCTCAGCCAGCTTTCAGGGAAGAGAGGCATGCTCCAAGCAGTCAGGCACACATCACTGCGGAGTGACAAGCACGGCTGAACTATGGCCCCTGAATGCCTGAGAATTCATGGACATACCAGACTTGCACGTGGCTCCAAACATGCCCTCCTGCGCTTGGTCCCTATGGCCATTATTTTTCTCTGTTGGTAGCCTCTACATCAGGATCGCGTCATTTTGGCCTGTTTATGCTACGGTTTCCCCAGCTCTGCTAACTAGTTCATTTAAAAAGGCTGCGAAGGCTTGGGTTTTCACTGGCCCTTGCTTGGAAGCCAGCTGAGAAAGCATCCTCTGGCCTCTGTGAAGAGGACGCCAGAAGTGGATGGGTTCTTTAGCTGGCCACACTGTTCTGGGAGGGCTGGCTTCTGTGGACTGCTCCCACACCACTGCCTAGTCAGCAATAATGGGTTAACCCTTTACAGTCTGTAATCTCTGATGTATTCCCCCATGCTTTCCTCCTCAGCTTCAAAAATACTCAGATGCTTGTCCTTTTGCCAAAGATGACCCTGCTGACACGAGAGCTGCCTGCTTAGCAGAACTGACAGGGCCACGCACTAGAGCACGCAAAAGGGGAGCAGGGGTGGGTGGAGGTGACCCCTGCAACAGATGAGCTCTCTTCTCCACAGCTAGGACCTCCAGAGGGAGGGAAGAGGACTGAGAGGGTATTAGAAAGAAAGATGCTCTCTGTTTCCCACTCTGGTCATCAGACCCAAATGAACACCTCTTTTCTCCCTTACCCAGCTCCCACCCACCTGATGAAGACATTAGTGACAGTACAGGCTACATGGGCTACAGCTAAATGGAGACTAGCTACGATCTACAGTCATACAGGGTCATTCTCCGATCAGTGTGCGTTTTGGCAGAAAGACAGGACTGCTCATTCTCCTTTTCCCTCCCCCTCTGCTAATTACTAACACACTATTGCTATAAATCTTTTGTCACCCTGTTGGTAGCCATGGCTTTGTCTGATGAGGCCCCAAAGTCTGGCATGCTTGATGCTCTGCGGGCACCTGCTGCTGTCTGGGAAACACGGCATCCCCCTTGTATAGCTCCCAGGGCATTCAAGCTAACCATGCTGAGAAAGCCCCTGGTTAGTCTGTGGTAAGCTCTCACCACAAAACTGTGGGGAAAACTCGTGGGTTTTGAAGCCCATCGGTCTAGTTAAGCCATTCTGACGTGGACACTAGGTGCTAATCACAGGGGAGGGAGTCTGTGTTCAGGGGCTGAGGACAAGAGACAATGGAGGACAGAGATGGAGCTCATGCCATAATTGTGACAGAACCCTCTGAGGTTCAGCAGTGATCCCATTTGCCCCGTCGTTGGCAGGTGTGGTGTGGGATGAACAAAGTCTCCCTTTCCAGAAGAAAATACCCTTTTGAAAAACCACCTGATGATTCAGTAGGGCCCTCTTTGTGACAGCCGGGTCTTGTGTCATCCCATTATAACATGATGTTACAATGCAGACAGGAAGATGTGATGATGTGGCATCATCCCAGAAGATTTTTCAGGGCATTTTGAGTGCCTGGCTGCAAAATCAGGAGGGCTGGAAAATTTACTAAAGACAGTTCAGTTGAGAGCTGAATCAGCTGGGCTCCACCAGCCTTTTAGGAAACTGCCTCATCAAATTCCAGTCCCATGTGTTTAGCAGCCATTCAGGCTGCTTCTGAGTCTCCAGCCTGCCTGAAAGCAAGATATTTTCACAGCAGCTAGATAATGATAGCAATGCTTAGCATGACTACAGTGCTCTTCATCTCTAAACACCTTCCTTTTAAATTAATGCTCTAAACCTCACAGGGCAGGGAAGTGTTAGTCAGGCTTAAAATAAATGGAAATTGGGGGAGAAAGAAGGAGGGAGGGTGTGATTCTGGTCATTAAGGAGAGGCTTATTTGAGAGCTGAGGACTGCATCTCAGAACATCAACTCACAGGGAGAAAAAGGTCTAACAAAATTTTCTGCCTAACGTTTCTTTGAAGGTGAACAGCAAAGTGAAAGCAAATATTGAGATAAGTGCCAATATCTGTGCTGAATGCCCACACTGGAGAAGCTGGTAAGGGCTTTCAAAAAACAAATGAGGTCCAGAGTATTTAAACTCTACTTTTCCCCTCTGCAAAATCCTCTTTGTGTCTCCTGGGTCACAGGAGATATCCTCCCAGCACTTGGCACCACAAATTCCTGGAGACTCCTCACAGAAGTGATGTCACACCAGGATGTCCTTCACGATGATCTCAGAAAACTGGGAGGCAGTAAAAGGAAAAAGATAACAACTTCAAAGGCAGATAGGGAAGTGTTTTAAAGGATTGAGTAAAACTGTGCAGGATGGCCTTGGCAGCTTGATTAGGAGGGGGTATTTGGTATGGAAATCCTGGCCTGCTCACTTGCAGTTTTTGCTTTATCATTTAGCTTAATGGGCTACTAATTCAAAACCAGCTGTAAACAGGGCTGGCTATGAAAAAAATTAACACTGCCTGCCTGTGGAATTTAAGGATATATAATAAAAATAATCATAAAAAGAAAGAGCCCTGGGTTTTCCATCAGACAAAAATATTTGTCATTGAAAATTCTGCTTCAAAAATGAACACGCAAAATTGGAAAACTCCTCAAAACCTTACGTCCCAAACAGCCTCAGCAACTTTAATTTCATATCCAAGCACAAGTTTCATTTGCAGTACATACAATAATGGTGTTTAATTGGATTTATTTTTCCACACTAGGTTCCCAATGGCCTACTTTACTCCTTTCCTCAGCTCCTTGAATATTATTTACAAATCACTCTCTGGGATTTAATTTTAATGGTAGCTTGATTTCTCCCTCCTCCCCCCCTCCTTTTTTTTTTTGTAGGTACTTTTCTTTAATTGTATTTGTGGATTTGCCTTTTAAATAGGCAATTGTGACTACATCCTGAGCCTGAATAAGTTGCCAAGAGCAGAGCTTGATTTGAAAACTGGCAGAGTGGTTAAACGGAGCTGGTGTAACACCCAGCATTTATTGTTCTTTTCATGGGAGTACCTGCAGGTGCTTTACTTGGGCAGGTGCTCTTTTGCAAAACAACATGGGTTCCCAATAACACTCTACCCCAAAGCTCTGCGCAGACATTAACTATTCAGGCCTCTGAACGTCTCATGAGTTGAGTGCATCTTCATCATGTGTTGGTAAAAAAAAAAAAAGACATTAAGGAGCTCTGGGCCAAGATTTTTTAAGTGAATATGGGGACTGGCTGCCTTATTGTTGATTTAGGTTCAAACACTGCTTTCAGACACTGTAGCCTGCTTCTGGATGTGCCCAGTGTCTGCCCTTTTTCAGAATCTCAAGGTCGCACCCAAGCCCCAGGTCTCATGTGGATGTCAGGGCCGTGCTGCCTGGACCTGAGGCATGCTTGGGCAGCACAGAGACAGGGAACATACTCAGACCCTGTTTTTCCTTCATACCTTCTTTCCTTGGAATAAAGCAGACCGTAACGCCACACCATAAGCCTTGTTTCGTGCTCTCTGCCCCAAATGCAGCACTATGTGACTGGCAGACTTAGGGGTGTGTAACAGAGGAACGAAGAAACAAAGTGCTTCCCTGTGATTAGTTTGCAGGACTGGAGTGAAAAAAACACCTCCTGGCAGCAATTTAATTTTTAGTTTCTCACTTGTTCCTTCCACCATCTCTGCAAAATTTTAGGGCTGCTTAGGCTTTTGATCCAAGTCCAAACATGTGGGCAAAGATAGCTTAGGATGGGAATATATATTAGGAGTAGGTCTGCAGACAACTTGAACCTCACTGAAGAATGTCCAGACCTGGGCGAGGACACAATGTCCTCAAAGCTTGGCTAAAGGTTGTTGCTGTTTAGTTGATTGGTTTTTCCAAAAGGTAAGGGGAAAGGGGAAGGATGAGGAAGGTGAGCAGAAGAGATCAAATGACATGTAGACGAGAAGGGAAAGCCCTTACTGTCCTGCATTTCTGAGCTGTTTTGCCTATCCCTAGCTCTGAGCATTTGTCAGAATGATGGAGAATGACCCAGCTAAAGAGCTACTTCAACAGAAAATATATACTGACCTGGAAAAGGATTGGGGAGTGTGGGTAAAACTCGTTCTAAGGGGGGAAAAAAAACAATAAGCAACATGCAGGAGAAAAGGACAAGCCACTTTTCACACCAAGCAAGGAGCAGATACAAACCTGATGAAGTTGTTCATCCCCAGATTAGATGAACTAGAGTAGGTTTCACATACAGAGCATTTTGCTAGCAACACACCTAATACACATCAGCATCCCCTGGGACTGGGAGTCAGAGAGAAGTAATTTGAAAAACTAATAAATAATATCCAGACAGCAAGGGAGATTAAGCACCTGCAGTGAAGGTAATTGAGGCTGATGGGCTGTATCTCCCCTCTGACTTTTGAGACTCATGTCACCACACTACAGCTCCTCTTAGCTACACCTCTGGCTAAAAGCTAGTCTTGGCAGAGAGGTGAGTTGTGGAAGTCCTCCACAGGTAGCTGCTGCCTCCCCAGAACCTTCTCCACAAATGGGTTTCTTGCCAGTGACAGGTTCCCTGAGGATCTGAGCATGGGAGCAGCCACCCTGGTGAATCCTCAGGGGCACCCTGCTCCTTTTGAGCTTTTGTCTTCCGAGGGGAACAGAGCTTTTGCAGATTCATCACCCCCTAGTTATACGCAGAGCCTGCTGTTTTGTTTGTAAGTTTTTTTCAATGCGTCCTTGTTATACGTCACAGCAGGGCTTTATTACACGTCACTTCTGGCTTCACGCTTTGCTTCTTCCACACAAGGATCTCAAAAGAATTGCCCAGACTCTGAGGGAAACCAGTGTCGGACACCTCAGTCTGAGGCTACCAGTAGTGTTAATTCCAGTTTACAGATCATGCAGTCGATGCACAGAGCAAGGAAGCAATTTGCCCAAGGTCAAAAGGTGAGCTGTTGGCAGAGCCAGGTGCAGAACCAAGAATACAACCCCTCCCAGGCCTGACTCTGACCACTGGGTCTTCCTTTCATTACCTCCAGAGCTTGCTGGATGCCTTGTACTGACTGAGACAAGTTCCTACTCATGGACTGGTCCGCAGGTAGACATTTAGCTATAGAGATATGCCACTATGCAACAGCTGATAGACCTGGGGCAATGAGTTGTCTCTTGGCTTACTAAAAGGGCAGTGCTAAGATCACTGCTGATGGACAGAGAGCTTGGCAGGATGCATCGGTAGACCTCTATTATTCTCTCATCAACCCAGGCCCAGCTATTTGGAGGCCAGTGCTCTTTACACAGCACCCTTGGTGCAAAGAGCTAGTTTCTGACTCGCTGGGGCCCACAGGGACGCAGCAGGTCAGGCCCATCCCTGTGACACTGCCAGATCTCCTGCCCTCCCCGTGGTAGTGGAGCTGTCTGAATCCACAGCAGGCGCAGGGGAGATTGTCTCTTGCCTAGAAAATACAGGGCTAGCCTGGAACTCTGTGTTTATGTAGCAACAGGGGACTATTGTTCTGCGAAAGCAGGCTGTTGTGCTGACATGACTTCCTTGTTATTTAGTTTGGTTAAATAACTCAACTCTCCTTTACCTTCTTCCGGCACAGCAGGCTGCAGACTGCACAGCATAAGCAGGTAAAGAAAAGCACTATGGCCTCATTATCATGCTGCTTTCTATTCAAGGACTCTACTTCTGCTCCCCTCACCTGCTGAGTGCTGCCTTTAGAGCTCCCCCCTGGCTCATTAGCAGTGTCTCAGCCTTGTCCCATCTGGCTGTCACCCTAACCACTTTCCTCCTCTCCCGAGTCTCCCCGGTATTGACAGCCCCTGGGAAAACTTGGGGGTTTGCACCAAGAGCCACCAAGAGAGATTTCGGTCACAGTTACACACCCTAGCAGCAACCACCATAAGCAAATGCTCAGGCGCAACAAAAGGGCGGGCAGAGAGTTGGGAGAAGGGTGTAAGCACGTGCCCACAGCCCGCGCTTGTGCCGGGGCACTAGCAAATCATGTCAAGTTAGAGGTGGGCGCCAGCTCCTCTTAGGAACGCGCCTCTTGCTGCGATCGGAACTGCTGGACCGTAATGATGACTCTACCTCAAGCCTCTCGAGGGGGCAGGGGTGGGATCCCGTCTGGTGCTGCTGCTTCTAATTGGCACGGGCCTTGCCAGCGGCTGCTTCACCTCCACCTTCCCTTCGTCCCGGGAGGGTGCAGAGGATGCGAGCCGCAGAGGATGCAGCAGGGGACCTGCTGAGGTGGCAGTCTCCCGTAATTGAGACAGTTCAGCCAGCAGGACCGCATCAGGACGCGCGGCAACGCCCTGTTGTCTCCTGCTTTATCCTCTGGGATGGGTTAGCTCTGTGGGAGGCAGAAGTCAACTAATTTGGGAAAGCTTTCATTTTTTTTTCTCTGCCTTACTACAACGCAGCAGGTGCTGCCCCTGCTTCTGCGTGCCCGTGGGGATGTGCGTGTGCTTGCTTGCACATCACACAGGTGCACGTGTATGCATACATACTCACGTACACCTATGTATCTACATGCTTGTACAGCAGATGTGTATCATGCATATATACACATATTTACACGTCTGTGCTGCACGGGTTAAGATACAAATTCTGACTTTGACTTGCAGTGCGTTTCACAGCACTCTGTTAGCTGAGTGGAATGAAAAGAAAACACTTTCCCTCCCTCCTCATACACTTCGGAAAAAAATCCCTTTCCCTTCAGCTGTGGCTCTGCTTTTCACCTCTCTTGCTCTGTGACAGCAGCCCTGGCTTGGCCTCTGTGTCAGGTAATTTTCACAGAGATCTGTGTTACTGACCCTTTCCTAGGTCTCACAGTATTTTGTACGTGGGGGTTACAAACCCTGTTCCTTGGCTCTGCAGAGCTGAATCAACCTACTGACTTGCTAATGCTGCAAAACATGGTCCTGCCTCCTAACTCCTCATATCCAGGGTTGTGTGATATAACTCCCCACCTTGCACGGGCTCTGGTGCTTGTTGAGGCCCTTCCATGAACCAGTTCAGCGCAGTACAACAAAAGAAAACATTTGTTGGGCATTTGGGGTGGGAGGGCGGTAAAGCTCAGTTAGTTTTTCACTGGTTTAGCAGGTTGAACTGGCTCAGTGGGTTGGCCACTGAGTACCAGAATAACTGAAACAAAAGCATGCTGCAGAGAGCAGGGTGAGCAAAAGGAGTGGGGAGGAAGGGATGATAGCAAGCTATTAGATCAGTCGTGTCATCAAACTGTACCTGAGTACCCTCTCTGCAAACATATTCCATATTGCTGTTGGAGACAGGTTCCTGGGTAAGACAGACCTTTGGTATGGCCATTTTTATGTTCTAGTAAACTCAGTCTCCAGGAGCGAGGGGTATAAATCTCTCCACCTACAGCAGGCAATCCTTCTACTACATCCTTTAGAGAAGATTACTAGCTATCTATTCATACAGCTGCTTTTGTATTTTAATGCATCTCCTACCTGTGGCATTGACATCTAATGCACTCGGTCTCTCAGAGAGTTTTCAATGCTGGCTGAGATTTCCTGGAATGGTAGTCACCCATTTTTCTTTATTGCTAAACTGTTCTTTCACATCATTCTGCTAGCTCTCCTTCTGCCCTCCACCTCAGGCGAAGTTGCCGGTACCTCATTATTAACTCTCTGGTTGTTTCTTCACTCCTGGCTGATGTTCTTTTTTGTGCTGCAATGGGACACTGAGGAGCCATCACCGTATCTGCCTCCCTAGTGGGATGTTGCCCTACAGTGAGCTTGTTCTCTATTTAAAAAAGAAATAAAATCTCTGATTCTCGGATGAAAAACACTACCAAGTATTTGAGTATCTGCTGTACCTTGCAGAAACTTGGCACTGCTTTATTGTTCTGCCTAGGTGTGTAGCTGGAAGTGTGCTTTACCTGTTTTTTCAGCTACTGTGTGATCACTACAGCATTTTTTTCATCTGGGCTTGTAGTTTTTTCAGCTGCTTTCTTCATCTTTATGAGGCTGGATTCCCTTCACTCCTTTTCCCCTTGATTTCTTAACCTAAGAAAGATCAGCTGTAGTCTGCCTGAATTTATTTTATTTTTTCCTCCCTCTTCCTGTCTTCCAGACCAAGTAGAAGGAGAACAGAGATTTTCTGAAACAGTATGAAGCAATTGCACGCTGAAGAAATAGGGATTAACTAGGCGACAAAAATAAAAGTTAGAAACAGTCCACTGAAAATCAACAAATCTCTCTCAGCTCCTGCACCTCCATTCTTCTGGCTCTTGTGCAGTTCTCTAGTGTTTTCCAGCATACATAGGCCTTGAATTTCTAAGGTAAAATTAATAAACAAAATCCAACAACTTGAAAGAAGGAAAAGTTTTCTTCATATACATCAAAAGGAGGCTGAAATAGGACCCTTGCTGTTGCAAGTCATCTTTAATAGTTGCCACATTTCCTCCTGGGATAGTGAACAGCAACTTTGCAGGATCTCCCTGGGTCTCTTACAGGTTCTGCCACTCATTTTACGACCATGGGTAAACCACTTCTTCACTCTGTACCTCAGTTTCCTACTGCAAAATGATGCTAATAACAGTCACCCATTTCTAAATAACTTGTGATGTTAAAATATTCATTGCTAGCAAATCCTTTGAGATCCTTTGAGGTGAAGTTCTGAAATCATGCAAAATGCTTTTCTAGCAAAACCACTCCCCCAGCCAAAATCACGTGTGCATACATACATTATTGAATTTCATCTTATAGTTTGTTTCAGTGATGCATTTCAGCTCATCTGTGGAACAGGAACCAACAGAGAGGGCCAAATTTAGAATTCAGACACAAATAATGGATTCTAAACTTAGCATTATATTAATATCAGCAAGAATGAATCTGGAGTATTTGAAAATTGTGTTCCAGATTGCTGCCTGAGGATTTTATCTGAATCTCATGACAGTCACAAGACCAGGGTGAAAAGACTTTCAAAGTAGAAATTTGCTTTGTGTGCTGCAGTGCTATGGGAAATCAAATATATGCTCTTTTATGATAATATCTGTTCTTTAGAAAAAAACTTGCACAGAATAGACCCAAATTTTTGCAGAAATTTGAACTGCCATGAAATAAACCCAGAGGTGGTAAGCAACGAATGCCAATGGATTTATCCTTTTGCACTACATCTGTTATAAAATAACCAAACCATAACATTGTTTTCCTGATGATTTGATTAATCTGACCACACACAGCAGAAACTAGACTAAATGGCATCCCATACTAAGACTGATTTACACAGCTTATCTTTTTTTCTGTTTAAAAAGACGTGCAGGCTATGGCCTGAGTGTTTTAATTCAATTTGGGACTGTCAGAAGAATAGAGCCCGAAGTCACTTGTGTCTATATGTCCGTTCATGTGAGTGGGTCATTCTGCTGCAGTCTATTTCTGGTGGCAATACGAAGTGGAGCCCAAGTGTGTGGTCCGAGTTGAGCCCGGGTTTTAGACCTGGAATCGGGAACTGCATTTTGAATACATGACAGTTTGTACATGTGCATGGGTGGTAGGCGAGGGGCAGGGGCTCTGCTTAGGGCCAGGTTTGAATCAGCTGCAAAATTCAGAACCAGCAGGTAACTCTACTCTAGAGTTTGGTCTGCTCCCAGCTCCTGTCTGCTTACACTTACTACGACAAACTCATTAACTGAAAGGTGGCAGAATGAGATCCAAGGAATTTTATTCCATATTTCATCTGCTGATTACCTTTTTCCCCACGTTCCCTATGCTATGCCCCTTTAAATCATTCTGTCTTTTCCCCCTTCCTTCCCTTCCATTTTCAAACTCATTTCTCTTTTTCTTGACTCTCTTGTGTTCTCCTCAGGCTTGGTGGCTAGTTCTCTCCATCTCTCTGAATTACTTGTCATTTCTCAGCTGTCACAGACCCCCCGAGCCCTGGCCTTCTGTCTCCTTATTAAAGGGGCTGTCATTCTAAAAGGTTTTTGTTTCCAGCTTTAAAACAAACATGTTTTTATTATTTTAAGAAAATCTGACTTCAGCAAAGAAAATCAATCAAAGGGCTTGACTGTAGACCTTTTAATTTGGCTGTGTTTGTGTTTCGTGGCAAGCGTGAGCACGTAGGTACCTGAAGCAGAGCGCTGAAAGCCAGTTCGTGGCCAGAGGTTTGGAGGGTGGGGGGTGGCAAGCAGATGCTTTCCTGAGTTTTGGTCACCGTGTGCTTCCTACACAGCCTGGTCTTTGCGAGAGCGTTCTTGGACCTCCCTCCACCCTCTCCCATACTTACTGTAAAGGTATAGGCTGGCATTTGTGACTCCCAGCTTGTTGGCAGCCACGCAGGTGTAGTTCCCGTAGTGTTCCTCAGTGACGTTGGCCACCATCAGCAGAGACTGGCTCCCCGTGCTCTTTATCTCCAGACCGTTGGCGCTGTTTATCCTGGGAAGACAGGAGAAGAGGGCTGTGGTGCAATGGCAGCTGTGCACTGGGAAGGAAATCGCTGCCTGGCAGGCAGTGAAGGAAGGTCATTCAGCCCAGCTGGCAGGTGAGGATGGAGGGAGGCAGGAAGAAGACATGAGAAGAAAGAGACCAAAGAAGGCATTGATGGAAAGCAGGAGGAGGGAATGGAAGGAAGGAGTGCAGTGGGCTGAAATGCCACCGGTCAAGTAGAGGAGAAGCAAGAAAAGCCGAGGCAAAGGGAGGGAGTCTTTACCCAGCACCAACTGACACCTTGGAAATGAACACACCGTGGCCAGCTGAGGGCTAGTCTGTGCTTGAGCAAGAGGTTTTTAGTGAAACACACCAATTCATGTGTGACCAATGTGTGCACATCCCAAAGCTGTGTTGCCCCTGAGCCTCTGCATGTGGGTCAGGTTAAAAACTAGGATAATAACACAGCCTTCTTAATGGCAGGTAGATGCTCAGGTATAAGGGGCAGATCCCTTTTCTCCCCTCATTTTTCTCTCATATGCAAATCTGGGTGGCTCAGGTTGCACAGATGGGGGAATCTTACACCTCAGCAGCTCCTTCCCCTAGATGAAGGCACCTAGAGTGTCATTACCTACTTGGAGACTAACACTGCCTATTTATTTGTCTATATCATGGGCTATTTAATGCATGAGCATTGTCAGGAAGAAAGCGCTATTGATGTCTTAATTGTGTATTAGCTCACAGCTGACTTAAAGGCAAGAGCTCCGTCCTCTGCACTTCCTTCAGCATCCCCAGCGCAGACAGGGATTGCCTCCTCCAGCCCTGACCATGCTGGCTCTGCCGAGTCTGATGGGACCATCGTGACTTACATGGTTTGCAAAGAGTAATTTGCTTGAGGAGAAGAGTTGGGGAGGACATTAGGTGGCTCTCTAAGGACGCTCTATTGAGTGGACTGAAAAGGAGAGAAGGGAAGAGACGAGCTAAAGGTCTTACCTGGTATCGTCTCTGTACCACTCGAAATCAGGCGTGGGCACTGCTGAAGCCTCGCACCGGAGCAAGGCTTGTCGTCCTGTGGCCGCTTCATTGCTCTTGGACTCTGTGATGGTGGGAGGGTCTGCAGGAAGGAGACACGTGGTCACTTCACACACTTCCAGGTGGACCGAAGCACTGAAACTATGTCAGGGCCGGCTTCCTCACGCAAACCACTGGGGCCGGTGGAGGCCTGCGGCTGCTGCTTGCTGTGGCACAGGCTCCCCCATGCTCCTCTGGAGAACGCCTGCTCTTTGAGCATTCCCTGAAGCACCACGTTAGCATCACTCCTTACGCGTGCTTCCCTTCAGCAACACTGAATAAAGTTCTGTCATAAATGCACAGGCATACACAGGCAGAGTTAAGGTTAATGATGGACTTCTGTAATTTATGAGTATTTACCTGTGGATCTCTAGTTCACATGGGCTCATCAGAAAGAAGAAGATGAGAGAAAGACTTCATCAAGGGTAAAGGGAGACAGCAAAAGTAAAAGGAATAAAGTAGGAACTGAACACTAGCATGAAAATTATTTTCCATTCAACCTCTGCGTCTAACATCAAAACTATAATAAGAAAGGAAAGGACTGAGGCAGCGGGCATAAGGCAGAAATACATTCATGGCTTGAAAGTCAAGAGCTTTAGCAGGAGCTGTGGGTGCAACTCTGAGAGCCAGGCCACTTGTTGAGGCACTTCCCTTAGGTGCCAAAGGTTACAAATCCTGCCCGAACCTTCCCAGGTATCATGCATTGTCAGAGGCTCCAGGAGGGCTTGCTCATGATTGCTCTGCTCGAAGCTTGCCCTCAGCCCAGCACGGTGCTCCTTCCTGTGCTTGCTGTGAAACCTGAGAGTTGTGCCATGGGCAAACAGAACTTGGGAAACATATCGGTGTGCTCCGCTGGAGCTAGGCCTTAGTGCTGACTGGGTACCGGGTAGGGTAGGCACCAGCATCTTCAATCCCAGCCCCATGTTCAAACTGTTAAGCAACAAGCTTTACATGGTAAAAGGCAGAATTCTTTCCACCTGGCTGCCGAGAGGGATCAGGGAGTAAGTGCCTTGTCTCTCATCACTAATACTTGCGTTCCCTGGGATTATGGGGCTGCAACTCAGACTACTTTGCTGAGACCTGAGTTACCATAAAGCACACTCTGCAGGTACAGAGTACAGCTCCGCCGGCTGTATCCAGCCCAGCACTGAAAGGCCAAAAAAAGAATCAAAATGGATTGTGCCGGTCAAAGAAAAAAATAATTCTGTCTGGAAAATGTATGGAAAGAAGTTTGTTTGTGAACACATTAGCCATCTCAATGTGATCCCTTTCCTGACCTTAATCGGGATTTTATGCAGGGCTTTAGGGATATTGCAGTGCGCCCTCTAACATCATACATATTAATAAGTGTACATAAATAGGATTCTACATTCAAAGGCTGTGGGTTCACGTAAATATTTTAATTTGGAAAGGAGGAGGGGTAATAAAAGGATAGTGAAGGTGATTTTTTAAGCAGCCTTCTTCGATTTTTTGGTTCAAGCAGTATATCTTCTTGCCGTCTGCAGCGAGGCAAACCTTTTCCATTTCACTGAACCCAGCACAAGAGGTGAGTCACAAAATGAACAAGCACCTTTCTACGGATGTAGAAAATAACCCCGGCAGACGTGCGCTCCCCGGGCTGCTGCCAGGGAGCCCAGCCCCTTGCTCTGAGCAGTCCCTGCCTTAGCCACCCTCCTCGGCTTTCGAAAGGACTGAGCCCAGACGTGTGGGCAGGCCGTATCTCAGCCACCACCGCTTTTGGGAAGGCACTGCCGGCCCCACGGCCGCCCCGCTGCCTGCTGCGGTGCTCGCCCAGGAGAAGGGGCAGGCGGTGGCCCTGACCAAACCTGCATGCTGCACTCAGAAAGCAGCCGCTCTGTTTTTGGCCGTTCGCTGCCAGGGAAGCCAGGAGCGGGGTGCCGTTAGCTGTTTCCCCCTGACCCTTCCCCAGGCCTCAGTTTCCCCGTCTGTAATGTGCAAGGGCCATTACTCGGGAAGCCTGAAGGTGGTAGTGTGAGACCAAAGCAAAGCGAGGATGCTCCCTCCTGCAATCCGGGCTGACGAGCTACGTGCTCCACAGCATCAGCGGGTGGTAAGAGCCGGCCAGGAAGCTCCTGAGGTTGGCCCGGTCCCGTTTTTCAAACTTACTGTAGTTCTCCCACTTTTTGCTGCTTGTGGTGTAGTTTACAGAAGCAACATAAGGAAAGATGTATGCAAACGTCTAGCTTCCATTCGCCAAACAGGACTGTTTTTTTTTTTCCTCTGCATAGCCCTCATGACCTCTTAGATTTTTTTCCCCTTGTTTTGAAAGAAAAGATCTGTCCTGAAGGAATTTATAAGTTGCTTACGTTACAAATTAGGCCACATCATAATGTTACAATACGCTCCCACATTATATTTTCATATATTCCAACAGTAAAAATGTTTAAGATCTTACTGTAGCATAGTTATTATGAACTGAAACTAAGTCAAAATCAAACATTTTGACTTTATACAAACAATCTGTTTCAACCATGTTAAAAGCATTGCTGAAATTATGTTTCACAGAAATATTTGAAAATATTAATTGGTTCTCATGGAATGTCTCGGGTTTATAAACTCAGCTGTTTTTGACAGGAAAAAACCCTCAACAGTTTTAGTGCAGAAAATCTGCTACTTCACTTTTACATTAATGCCAAATTTGGTCCATGAAGCAGCCGGTATTAAACCACTGCCATCCAGTTTCTAAGGGAATTATAAAAAACTCTGTGGATTCTGAAGATGCTGAAGGGAGCCTATAACCTTGACTTCTAAGCAAGACAGACAAGTCGATCTGATGTGATGGCCCAAAGGGGAAAAAAAAGTCAATGAGCAAGAATGGTATTAAAAGGTGCTAAAATAACCTGTGGTGGCAAATTAGACTGGGATGGGCTGAAACACTTGCTGCTGTCAGCTCTCTGCCCTAACCCACTCCTGGAGGGTGCTACCCGTGAATCAAGACCATGCATCTGCATGAAACACATCTGTAACCATCTCCAGTTTCAGCTGGAGAGTTACAAAGTTAATACTGTGGTGTGTAAACTTCAGAAGTTCAGGAGAGCATGTGCCTCCCATTCATCCATCCCTGCTGCAGACGCAGTGGCCTCCAAGCAAGGAAACAGAGCAGGTAGATGGAGATGCTCACTTTAAATCACTCCAGTGCCAAATATGAGCCATACAAACGTGGAGGGGGACTTACGCACATGTCGGATTATAAGAGTAATGACAGTCTGAAGTATCTGGTGTCACCGTGAGAGGGGCACACCAGCAGAGAGAAGCGGACACCTGTCTAAGCACGTAAGGGCGGTGGGGTCCATGCCCCACTCCCGCAGGTGTGGATGTAAGCCACACAGGTAACTGTGCCCCCCGGTGCTTTTAGGTCGGGTTGCCGTATGCTCTGGTCAAGCCCCTTTCTGTATTGCGTTGGTGCACGGAGGGTCTCTTAGAGAGGGCTTTATGCTAATGACCCAAAGCCAGCATAGAAAGTCAAGTTTTTGCACCCCCTCCTTAGCACTTGGCCCTGCTGCACGTGCCCCCAGGAGCCGCCTGGGCGCAGGCAGGCGCGCGTCTGCGCTGAGCCGGCTGAACCCGCCCTTATCTCTCCTTGCTGCCTTGCTGAAGCTTCTCTTCACGCTGCTGTTCTCCCGAATATCAATGAGTGAAGACAAGGCATCGCCAGCGTTTCTGAGGGGAGAGACAGGAGCAACTCACAGCTCCTCTCTTTTTTTTTTTTTTTTTTTTTTTTTCTTATATATTACCGGGTTTAAAGAACAAACTATACCCTGCGATAAGTGTCTGACAGCAGATAGGTTCCTCAGCACCCACCCGCCCACACCCCATTTCAAATCATATAATATAAACCCAGAAAGGCTTCTCTATTTATCCTGAAGTCACCCCTGCCTGTGGGCAAAGCCCTCCCCATTGACCTGCTCCAGCTGCAATGTACTCACAGTTCACAGTGACCCGGACTTGCTTGACATCTGCTGAAGCAACCTCATTGGCAGCTTTGCATTCGTACTTGCCCGATTGCTCTCGAGTGATCCCTAGGATCTCCAGATACTCTTCCTCGCCTTCAAACTCTCTGCCTGGTAGGACAGAAAAATACAGATGGTGGCTCTGTTAAGCATTCAGATTTGGGAAGCCTTCTGCTTAATTGCTATGGAGGAACAATCACAACAGGGATTCTGCAAATAAACGACAGTCATGAGCAATTTTAAAGTTATTTCAGAAGCCATATCAGCAAGATAATGCATTTTATTTAGTTATGGAAAACTTGGGTTCTGAAAATCTGGAAGGAAGCATACAAGTGGTACCAAAGCTTTGCATCTCACAGGCTGTCCACCACGTGAGACTGGAGTGAGTTCACTGGTGTGAATGTCTGAGTACCAGGGGAGGTCAGTCAGCCTGTGGCTGATGGGCTGGCTCACGGCTAGCTGGGTCCTCAGATGTGATGGTGTATTGTCAGCACCCTTTTCTCTACTGCAGAACTGTGAAAAATGTCTTTCTGTCTCTCAGAGCAACCACCACCCTGAAGTGCCATTGATCAGATCGAGCTACCGTTAAACACGGCCAAACTGAGAGAAACAAAGTGTAATTTGATCCGCAGAGACCAATAATCATCACGAATCCCTGATCTACTGTACATACGAAATGACATATTTAAAACGTGCTGCCTCGCTAACACAGTTTTGAAATCAGTGAATTGAGTGTCGGGGTTACAGCCGGGGGCAGGAATCAGGGGAGGTCTGTGGCTTTGCTTTTAATTCACTGTATGACCTTGGGTGAGTCACTCCCTTGCTCTCCCTCTGTGAACTGCGGCTAATAGCCCCCCTCTCCCATCACCTCCTGGTCAGAGAAGGGTGGTGAGGTTAACCCATATAAAACACATTAGAGTCGTTGGATGAAAGGTGCCAGGGAAGCAAGAAATATTAGGATTGGTATATCTCCCCTGTTCCTTCAGAATGCAAAGCAATGCTCCTCCTGGAAAGAATCCGAACCACACTGGCAGCAGTGTAAAGGGAGATGCTTCCCTCCTCTGAGAGGGCTGCAAGCACTGGTCTGCAGCATGCAAAGCCACAAGCCCCAGTTGTGTACCTGTGTATGCTTAGAGAAAGCATCCCCCAACCCTCAAAGGGCAAAAACCAGATTTTCCCCCCAAAAAACAGCTCACAAGGGCTCCCATTCAGGTTCCTCAGAGAGGCGTCCAATTTTCCACAGCAGCTCTCTGCCCAGGAGATATTTTCTGTTTGACAGGTGCCGAGCACTTCTGAAACCCTGCCCACTTCACCTAAGTGATTAGAGGTGTTTGATGGAGTTCAAAGAGTGCCTGTGAGGATGGGGCTGTTGTCCTTGGCTCTGCAGTGAATGCAGGGGGTAAGCTCCATCTCTGGAGCTAAAGTTCCCGTGACCCACCCGCAGTGAATCCCACCACCCAAGCACGGGCTTGCTGGCGATGCCAGCTGTGTGCATGTCCCCTCTGCATCAGAGAGAGGGACTTCAGCAACTTCAAAACCTGCTCAGCCACTCTGTCCCTTACACGATTAGTTTTTGCCTTTCTTATTTTTTTTTTTTTTCCCCAGGCAATTTTCAGAACCATTCTAGGGGAAAACCAACCCCCATCACAGAGACTCAGCATGAAAACAGCAGCGTACCTATTAAACTTATTCAAAGACAAGGTTTCCCCTCTCTTTCAGTGGGGCTAACCAGCAGTCCCTTTTCCAGCTCCTACCAGATGTTCAGGTGAATGGAAATCTCATTGCCACGTCTAAAACTTACAACCGCTTTGATGCAGGTTTTTGCATCCCCCAACAGCCTGCTGAAGGGCCTTACTGCACGGCAGCAGTTTTTATTTTACAAGGGAGGGAGGGAGGCAAAACGGGCTCCTGCTGCCTACCCAGTATTCCGGGACACGGCTCTCAACCTTTTGCTGTGCACTCGGGCTGATGCTACGAAGAGTCACTGGAGAAGGAAGCAGGGTGGGATTTTCACAGGTACTTTTTATTGCTGAAACTCATGAATGTGTTGGGGAATCTTAACCCCTGTAGGACCAGAGTCAGGTGAGTCACAGAACCCGAAGGGACTTTAGTCACCATCTAGCCCATTCCCCCACCTCAGGGCAGGACACATGGGCCATGCCAGGGAGACAGCCATCCTCTGCCCTCCAGCAGCAGAGATTCTGCAGCTACCCCAGATGGTAAGTTGCCGTGCTTTGCTGTCCTTACCACTGGAGCAGTTTCTCTGAAGTTTGACCTGAGTCTCCCTTGCTGTAATTTAAAGCTATTATTTTTGCCTTAGCCACCTTAGACAAAAAGAACAAATCATTCCCTCCTTCTCTGCAACAGCCTTTTATCAACTTTTAAATCACTTATGTTCCTCCCTCAGTTGTCATTTTTTTTTTTTTTTTTTTTTTTTTTTTTTGCTGAACATTGCCAGGGTCTCTCAACCTTCCTCTGTAGGTGAGGGTTTTTTAGACCCTTGATCATTCTTGTTCTTTCCTTTTAGATCTTTCTGACAGGTTCACATTTTTCTGGAAGTGCAATACCCCAAACTGAACACAGCATTTCAAATGAGGTGTTCCCATGGCTGAGCACAGATGAAAGATTGCATTGCAACTTCTGCACTGTGCTGCTGTCTGTACAGCCAATACATTGTTGGTGGTTTTGCTATAGCATGATTCATTTTTGTTTGGGAACTCTTTTTAATTCCCAGATCTTCTTATCGCATACTGCTACCTGCTAATAATGCTCTTTGAAAATCCCACCCCCAATTTGAGCCGACAACCAACACTCCCCTCCTTCCACAGCAGCACTCCCAGTTGGTAGGTCAGCCAGTTGACTGGAAAGTTAATCAGACATCAGGGAAAGACTCACAAAGAAAAGGTTAAAATGTAATTTGCCTCTGCTTTGCAAATCATTTGCTCTGCAATTCTGCCTTGTTTATACACAGGGTTCATTCCAAGTGGGACTTGCTTCTCCTGCAATTTGCCCTTGTCACAAGACTGTCACTGTAATGAAAAGAGGGTTGAGGGTGAGTTAACCAGCTCTAATGGAGTGGCACCCTCATTAAGGGCGCTGTTAAGTCTGTCTGTCAGAGAAACGCATCAATGGAGCTCCAAAGTACCCTAAAAGGGTACATGTTTTCCTAAGGGAAGGTGTTTTTCAGCTTCTCCTCTGCATATGCACATGCAGTTAAAGTCTAAAGCCTGTACCATGACCAGCAGGAGAGCTTTCACAGCTACGTGCAACCCTTCCCAAGACATGATGAGCTGCTGGTGTGCCCAGTGGAGCTCTCAGGGAATGAGTGAAAGGGAGGACTTCTGTTTGAAAAGGCACGCCAAAGACATCAATAGGCCCGTTCAGCTCCTCGTTCCCCTGCTCCAGGACACAGATACCAGCATGACGCCTCAGGGAAAGTTTCTGTGACAGTCTCTTGCTGAAACAGTGGTAGCACTGTTCTTGTCCCTGCACTGGTGACCTGTTTCAACCCTGGGCGTCAACATTTTGCTACAAGAACTCGGCTACTCTCACTTGTAAAGCAGACCCTTTTGCTTGCAGCTCTGTCCCCTCTAAGAATACGTTAACCATTTCTAACAAAAAGCATTTATATAAAATTGAGGTGTCATAGTACAGATTGTGGAGAGGAAAGATGTATCATGGTGTGTTAGAAAAATGTCAGGTTGTGATATCTTGCACAGAGCTGTAGGGATGTTTTCACTAATTCACCTTGGCAGCTAGATTAGGTGAGTCATATTAACTCTAACCTCTAAGGCAAAAGCGGGGCGGGGAGACCAGGAGCAGAGCTCTATGCACCGAGTGAGTTTACAAATGTTTCTGTGCAGGAGCCAGCTTTGGCAGGGATCTGATGGTTGTCACTATGCAGTTTATCAAAGCAGAGAGGGAGAAGGCTTGGACAATGCTCTGATAACAATGGACATATTCTATTAGGTGAATAGAGGGGGCTGCCAGCTCCTGGCAAGCGAGCCACTCCGTTCCCATTAGGAGAAGACATTTGTCTTGAACATGTTATCAAGGGACGGAATCCTGACCCTCCTGCCAAACCTTCCTCGCTGACAAGGGTTGTCCCCTGGCTGTTTTCTCTGGTTCAGTACAACCCCTCCCCAGTGAGGGGCCTTCCTGCTTTCCCTGGGCTGGGGGGATGACTCCTCATGTAGAGCAGCTCTTCTCATCCCAAAGCATCCCTTCCCACGACTCCAGGCAACCTTCTTCCCTGCGGGTTTTTTGCCTTTCACGTGCTCATAGGTAGCTTGGTTTGTTGCTGCAGCCCCATTAAACGCCACCTTGCCAAGCTGCGGCTCCTTAACTCTGTCCCAGTAAATCAGAAAGAGGAGCTTTCTGCTCTGGAGCCGGGAGATAGAGAGTGCGAGCCTGGGAGGCTTGACAATCAAACCAACAGGGAACGACCCCGAGCAGAGCGAGCCAGGCGCCTGCCGCTGCTCGGAGCTGGCAGAGCCCTTTTTGCAGAGGGTTCTGCAGCAGACGGCTTTGATGTGTGCAGGAGGAAGGCTTTGAAGGCCCACTTGCATCAGCCACATTTCCTATCCCTTGGCTTCCTAATTGGACCCAGTGAAGTAAATAATGAACCCAAACAGAAAACCTGCTCGGCTATTCTTGCTGCTGGCAAGAAGCCCCCCTCCTCCCCCACCCCTTGGAGATAGCCCTGTACAACCCCATGGGCTCTGCTTAACATCCCCTGTTGAAGTGCACACCTGCCTATGCTCTTGTAGATATGATATATATATTAAAAATATATTTATTATATTCTATATGTTATGTATTTTATATATTTTTATTTATATAAATCCCACTGTGTGTGCAGAAGTGCAGACTTACACCCTCCCCACATATTTATGGGTCCTTCCCACCTCCACTCAAACAGCCCCTTGCCCTGCCACGCACCATCACTCCTTCCTGAAAGGCTTAAACTCTTCCTTTCTAGAAATGCTGCACACCCAGATGAAACCCCATTTATACTGTGTGCAGACAGATCTTTCAGGCAGTCAAGGGACCTGCAGTGTGTTCAGCCACGTGCTCTACCAGAGAGGCCTTCCCCTTCATGCCCTAATTTC